ATTATTATTTTTTAAATTATTATTGTTTTTTGTGTTTCGTTTTATGATTTTTCGGATATATTTTGGTTAATTGGCTTGTGTTTAAATCGCTAAAAAAAAAAAAATTGCCAATGCCTGCTGCACAACAACTGCAACAACAACAACTGCAACAACAACTTTCCTAACAACAACAACAACAAACGATCAATCAACTGCCGCTGCTGCTGCTGCACGCTTGAAACCCTCCCGCCCACCCCTCGCACACGCACCCACGCTCACCTGCTCTCATCTCACCTCAGTCATTTGCCCCGAACTCATACGCGAAGTTGAATCTCGCATGAATCGCGACTATTTGCCGCCCACACTCAAATCGCTCAGCCAGTCCCCGCCCAATGCGGCCACATTTGGCCTGGGCCTCGCCATGGCTGGTTCCGGCGCGCCGCATTCATTGCCATTGAGCATTGCGGGGGGCGGCGGTGGTGGCGGCGGTGTTGGCGTTGGTGGCGGTGGCAGCAGCTCAGTGCCGCTCGTCGTGGCACCCACAACGGCGGCGAACAATCGACGCGCCTATCGCGCCGCCCACTGTAAGCTGCCCACTGTGCAGGAGGGTGGTAAGTGGTCCAGATCTACGAAGGCTGCTCGGCAAACGAAGCTCCACGAGAGTTCCCTTTGGATTTTTTACTAATTTAATTTCTCTTCCATCTCTCTCTCTCTCTCTTTCTCTCTCTTTTTGTATTCGCTCTCTCTCAAATTATCGCTTAGCGCTTGTAGGACGCTACAGTCCCGTGCGTCGCGCCTCGGAGGGCTCACGGTCGCAGTTCCAGGGGCCGCTGCAGGAATGCCAATCGCTGCAAAAAGGTATCGCACAGAGAAATTTTTTGGTTGCACCCAGTCCGCCGCTTTTAGAAAATTCGATCAGTCTGCCAGGTAAGCTAAAAGCCCCAACCAGAGCTCGTTAGGAACAAACACAAAGAGAAGGAATTCCCACCTCTCTCTCTCTCTCTCTCTCTCTGTAACAGTTTCTCATCAGTATTTTTTTTTCTTTTTGGCAGGCTCACCCATACATGGCAAACCCACAAATTTGCAGCTGGCGCTGCGTCGCGGTCACGGTCACGACATCGAGGTGCCGCCGGAGGCCATTAAGAATCTGATGCCCGCCTTGGATCGTCTGGTGAAGGAGCAGCGGGTCAGCTTTGATATTGCCAAAAAGATAATCTCATCGAATGTGGTGCCCATTGATTTGGCGCCACAGCTGGGCCTGGCTGCGCATGCGGCGAGTGGTGCAGCCGTTAGCGGTGGCTACTTGGATCAGTCGCATCTGCACCACCAGCCACAGCCCATGCACAGCTACAGCGTGTCGCCGCTGACGCTGCCGCACGGCCCCAATGCCTCACTCACGTCCGCCAAGCAGATGTTCGGCCAGCCCATCTGTGGCTATCAGTATCAGACGACGGCACCGCTGACCCTGGGCGTCGCAGCAGCGGGTGGTGCAGCGCTGTCGCTAACACTGCCCCTGCAGCCACAGCAGCAGCAGCCACAGCAGCAGCTGGTGGGTCAGTTCAGCAGCATCAATTTGGGCGCCAGCAACTCGAACAGCAGCAGCGGCTGCCAGTCGCCCGTCTACAGCCAGTGCATGGCCAATAGCCTTAGTAATAGCAACAGCGGCAGCGGATTCAGCGGCAGCTGCTCACCCAATCCGAATCCGTATTTGCCCGGCACGGGCCCATTCAATCCCTGTGTGAATGTCAATGCGGCCGCGGCGTCCACTTCTCCGCTGCATCAGATCACCAAAGGCATCTCGGGGCTGAGCACGGGCGGTGGCTCCATCACACGCGGCACCTCGGCGGCCAGCGAGGGCGTTGCCCAGCAACCGCTCGACTTGTCCATGGACGTCTGCAACATGGATCAGCCGGCTGACTATGCCGGCACATCGAACTGGTTTATGCCCGCAGCAGCGTACTATGATCTGAAGCCATTGAATCTGTCGCCCGCACAGCCAGTGCGTGTGGTGCCGACGCCGCCGGCGTCGCCCAATCTGTGCATCATCCAGGAGGAGAATGGCAACGGCCAGATGTGCCATACCATCAGCACGGGCACGCCCTATGCGGGCTGCACGGGCGGCATAACGCCACAGATATGCCTCACGGATGTCCAAGGCAGTGAGATCACGCTCGTCGCGCTCTCCTCGGATAACAGCAGGGATAGCGAGGATTCACTGGAGCCGCACACGCCGATAATGTCGCTGCAGGTGAGATTTGATTGTTAGCTCGGCTGCTGATGCCCGAAACTAAACCTGAAACTCTACTCCACACAGGGTCTCATCATTACCGAGCCCAGCAGCGATATGCCATCCATAACGCGTGGCATTGGACGCAAGGCGAGTTTGGACTGTGAGCCAGTTGGCTCGAGTCATGCTGGCCATGCTGCCCAGAGTTCGGCTCAGGCGGAGGCGCATAGGCGTGGCAGCGACAAGTCGCTGGGCTTCTCCGATGATTCGCTGAGCAACGACTCGAATAATCTGTCACCGTCCTGCCAGGAGCCGTCGGCCAGTTCGGGCTTCAAATCCGACTCACATTCCGAAATGGGCGATCACACGGAGTGTGGCCACCTGACGCCCGACTCCATGTGCGATTCGCGTCGCATGTCCGATGAGATGTGCTACGAAGTGCCGCTGCCACACGAGTGCTCCAACTTGGACTCCACGCGCATTCTCGAGATGGTCAAGCAGACAATCGACTCGACGATGCCGCCCAAGGGATTTGTGCTGCACAAGGGCAGCATTAGCTCCGAGGACAGTGGGGCGGAGTCGCGGCACAGCAGCGCCTCGAATGCCTCCAGCGATGCGACGCCGCATGCCACAGCCAACAGCAGCAGCAGCACCAGCCACAGCTCCAGCAACAGCAATGCGCCTGCCTCACACACGGCCAGCTATGCCGAGCCGACGACGAATCTGAGCCTGGAGTACTCTGGCGGCCTGCAGATCGAGCTGCAGGTGTGCGAGGGCCGGAGTCGGGATCACCATGGCGCTGCCAAGGGCATCAAACTGCGACGCATCTCGGGTGATCAGTTCGAGTATGGTAAAATATGCCAGCAGCTGATTAGTACCATAACCATGCAACAGGTGGCGGGCTAAGGCAAAGCGAATGTGTGCCCAATATGTGTTTCCATGTGTGTGTGTATCTCTGTATCTGTGTCTGTATCTGTATCTGTATCTGTATCTCTGTGTGTCCTGTAGTTTAGAGAAACCAAACGTAATTGACTCGCCTTGCCTATTAACTCTGCGTAGCTGTGATTTAAGCCGATTTGTACATAGAAGAGTGCATAATTAAATATGTAAAGTGTAACTATATGTCCATGTGTAACTGGGTTCTGCATCTGTGTGTGTGCGTGTCCATCAAAGAAGAAGAAGAAGAAGAAGAAGAGGAGAAAACAGCCGTACGAATACACTACTATAAGCAATCGAGAATGAGAAAATGTTAGATCAACAAAAATGTGTCCTTGTTCAGTTTGTATTTTGTTATTGTTATTGGAAATTGTTGACGATTATGTTTATTAGCTCTGTTCCTCAAATAACTTTGTAACTTTAATCAAAATTTTTAATTATCAATATGCATAATAATGTTAACTATTTAGATAAATAATTATGCATTTTTTTCAAATTTTTATAGCTCCGATTTTAGCTGTATATACGATATATGATAATGCACTTTAGGCTTAAAATAACCAACTAGGTATATCTATATACACACACACATACATAGCCAAGCAGGCAGGTTTTTATATCCAACTTGAGCTATATACATATATATAATTTTAGTTTTTTTTTGAATAACTCAAAGAAAAACGTTTTAAATGCATTCCAGTAGCTAAATTTTTTCATACATTTTCTGACGTTCTAGTGGTATATACATTTAAATAATTAAATATGTAACTAATATGTAGCAAATAGTTAAGTCTAATATATATAAATACATCTAATTTTCAATTCTGTGCAATCCAATATGGCAAATGTGTATAGCGCTAACGATTCTGCACGATTTCAATTTCAAGCAAACCACTTTACTCTATAAATGATAATGAGATGATAAAAGGTAATTTCTGTAGTTAGAATGCAGTTTTTGCTCCGATATTCGTAAGCATTATATGTGTAAGCCTCTTTGATTCCGTAACATTTTAAAAGTTTATGTATTTAGTAAAACTTTGTTCGTTTGTTAAATGGTTAGTAATGGCGCCTTCGATATGCGTTCAAATTGAATTAAACACAAATTGAGAAATCTATTATTAAAAGACTGCTGTGATTTTAAATATAATTAACTATTTAGTTCAGAAAACAAAATACAAACAAAACAAAAACAAGAAATCCAACAAATAAACAAGAACTTAGCTATACATATGATTACATAATAATTAATTCAACTTTATCTTAAATAAATTACCAACTCTCCAAACAATAAATAACTAAATGTACAATTTATTTAATTTTAATTGGTTTTCAAGCTTTAAGCATCTCATTTGAAATTGCGCGCACTATAATCATGTTGCGCCATCTGCCGGCTTAAAAATAATGTAGTCTGTTAAATAGAGCTGCACTTTACAGCACATATCGATAGCGTTGCATACTCATCGATAGTAATAAAAGAAGAAGCAGATTGTTTTGATGCTTAATTTGTAATATTGTGCGAATTGTGTTTGTTATTGGTGTATTTAATGGAATAATCAATACGAAAATGATTTGCCGTCTGTGCCTGAATAGCGCCAACGACACAATTCAAATATTTGAAGGCGTCGGCTTGTCCCTGAACGTTGCCACAGTGCTGGCCAAATATTTCTGGTTCGAGGTAAACTATTTGTATAAACACATATTTCACTTTCAAAATTGTAAACAAAACACATTGATATGTAGCCAAAATGTGATGATCCCATATCGACGGACATTTGCGTGGGCTGCTGGACGCGCGTCAGCGATTTTAATGAGTTTTACGCAAGTGTGGAGAAGGCGCATCGCCTGCTCACCGAAAGGTTCTCAGTCAAGGTGGGCGAGCAGCCGGAGAGAGAGGAGAGGCTCAATCCACGGGGCAACAATGGCAAGCAGAAGCAGGAAGAGCAAGAAAAGCAAGAGGATTCCAAAGATTTTCTCTTGCACAGCGAATGCGCTGCCGAAGCCGACGCCGAGGAGGATTTGGCAAATGACGAGCAAATGCCAGCGGTGGAGGCTTTATATGCGAGTGGGAACGAGAGCGATGCAGCAGCATCGTTTAGCAATGAGCAGTTTCTGAACGATGTGCTGGCCCAGCAGGGAGAGCCAGCTGCCAATGCCGCTGCCAATGCCGATGCCGTGGCTGAGGCTGGTGCGGCAGTAGTGCCAAACACAGAAATTGTGCCGCAAGAGCGTCGGGAAACACGCTCCACGCGCTCCAAGAGCAAAGCCCAACAAATGACAGAAGCTGCTACTGCTGCAGCGGCTGTTACTGCTGCAGCTACTGCTGCTGCGGCTACTGCAGCGGAGCAGTCGACGCCTGCGAAACGTCGTGGTCGATCAAAAGCCGAAAAAGTGAGCCCCAATGCCGCAGAGGAATTGCCGAAGAACAAACGCTATGTGGATTATAAGAAATCGATGCTGGAAATTGATGAGAAAATCGCCCAACATATGCGCCTCACCTGCAGCATTTGCCACGAGGGCCAGGAGACATTCCTGACGCTCTGCAAGCACATGATGATGGTGCATCATCGCAAGGGCTATGCCGTCTGCTGCAACAAGAAGTTCTACAAACGTTCCTTTCTCACCGATCACATCGATCGCCACTCAAATCCCGAGAAATTCAAGTGAGTGGTAAACTCGACAATATCGTCCAAAATAACGAAGAATATGTTTTACATTCAGTTAATACTCGATTTTATGTTTTAGATGCCAATTGTGCGATCGCACCTTTGCGGACAAACAATGTCTGCGCAATCACGAGCTGCTGAAGCACCAGCCGGACGAGCAAAAGAAATTCATGTGCGAGCACTGTCCGAAGCGCTATACGAAGCAGTATTTGCTGGATCAGCACAGGATCATACACAAGGAGCGCAACGTGCCGTGCGACATATGCGAGAGGCGGTGAGCGTACAAAAATGTGACGTAGCTGACAATTGTGACAGCTTCCGATTGATTAACTCTAAGAGCGGGCTGTGCAGACGCTGATAAACTCTTTGATTTGTTGTAGTTTATAAGTAGACTGAGTGCACATAAGCTAAACTCTTTTTCAAGCCCAGGCACATTTCTCATTCTGCTCAGTTGTTTCTTGATCATTTTCCAAGCTCATTTCTATCTGCGCTCCATTACAATTAGACTGCCCTTTATAAACCAACTCATTCTCGCTTTTCCTCTTCTCCTTCTAGTTTCCCCAACATGTCGATGCTGTGCACCCACGTCAAGATGGTTCACGGCAACTATGGCATCATGTGCGACATTTGCGCCCAGGTCATTCGTGGCCGTGCCGCCTTTCAGCGGCATCAGCTGGAGCACGCTGGCATCACGGAGCCGAAGGTGCAGTGCGACATTTGTGGCTCGTGGCATAAGAATAAGTATAGCCTAAAGAAACACGTGCGCCGTCACAATGGCTCCTCCGAGGAATGCACCTGCAACATTTGCGGCAAGGTCTCGCCCAATCGCAGCGCCATGCTCAGCCATCAGCGCTATGTGCACAATGCGGATCGCGTGCATGGCTGCAGCGTGTGCAAGAAGAAATTCAAGAAGGCCATCAATCTCAAGGAGCACATGGCCACGCACACGGGCGAGGTGCTCTACAAGTGTCCGCATTGCCCCAAGACGTTCAATTCGAATGCGAACAAGCATTCGCATCGCAAGAAGAGCCATCCCAAGGAGTTCGAGGAGGCGCGCAAGGCGCGCATACAAAATCGCATGGGCGACAATAGCAAGAGTCAGACGACGAGCATGATAACCATAACAACGGACGCCAGCGATGGCCAGCTGGAGACGCACAATATACTGGTGACAACCAGCTCGTCCCAGCATGCGGACGAGGACGAGGAGGACTACAAGGGCGAGGACATTGAGTACATGCTCACGCTGAGTCCACAGCCAGCCGAGTAGCTTATACATAAATGTTGTTGTTTTCATCAATTTCAATATATATATTATT